TTGTTCTAAATATCTTCAGGTTTCATATAACATGTGGTCGAAAAAATCGTTAAGTATAACTTGTTTCAACTTATCTTTGTTGTTCATGAAAGTAAATAATACCTGTTACTGCTAGTGGAGAACATGACATGCCGAGTAGGGACGTCGACAGCAGCGTCCTTCATTGGCTGTTTGGGTAATATTTAGAGATTCTGACCCACCTATATTATAATAAGTATTACCAGTTACGTGGACAGCCTGTGATACTCTGGGTAAATGGCGTGTTTTTTTTTGCATACTAATGAACCTTGGATTTAGTCACTTTGCAATGCTGTCATCTAGTTCTTCGGTCTGGAACTTTGGCTCTAATAAAACAGTCAGTCTGAAACTTGATCTTCTTTTAAGTAGTCTCATAAAAAATTTGAAGGAAGAATCTGAAAGATCGACAATTCAACGTTTTTAAAACATCTAAGCAGATACACACACACAGTGTTTGTGGATCATTGTATAATAAAGATTGTGCATTTTGTGTTTCACTTTGTGTCCAGTCTCGTTTCTTCATTTAACAGCAATTCAACCAATAAGAGCTTTATTACTTTGTAATTCATATCTTGATCAAATCTATAGTTATCAATGAACCTTTCCAGTGTAGCTCTCAAATTAATTCAGTTTCATCTGGATACACTACAAATCCAAACATAGGGTAAAGAAGAAGGGGATGTCATATCATTATGTATAATTCAGGTGGGTGAATGTACTCACTTGCATTGATGCATTTTCTTTGTCACAACAGACAAATATCTGAAATAGAAAGCTCCTGTTGTTTCAAAGTACTGGACCTAGGATCTGACTAGTAGCAAGTCAAATTGGATGGTTAAAACAGACCTAGCACTGCTTTTAGCACTTATTACAACCAGGGAGTTCTTGTCATATCACTCAGTCAGTGTAATGCATCTGCCACATTTGAAACACTAATAAATCTAACACTGTGAGGGCTGTAATGGCTTCATCAACAGAGTGATCTATGTACTTGGTTTTGTGTTTTACTCTGCTGATAAAAACTTAATAATTGTATTTTAGCACATAAACAAACCAGCTTGAAGTTGAAGTATGTAAAGTGTGCACTTATTCATATAGATGTGGAGGTAGTCAACCACATTGTAGACAGGAACAGTGTGTCTGCAAATTCTTTGAAGACTGTAGTGATTAAAGGCCGGTCCTAGCCTGCAAGTAAAACACCTGTAGCTTTTATAGGTTTTGATTACTTTCGCAAGTGGGCCAAAGCTTATCCATTGGTTGACACTTCAACAAAGTCTATGAAAAATAATTTAGTCAAACAGCATAAAGTGATTTAGAACATCTGAGAACTCCATACAGATAAAGGAACAAACGTCTACAACCAGTTGTTTGCAGAGTTATGCTTAATTCTAGTCAAGGTGAAGTCACACACTTCATTGTATTATCTCCAGTCTGATGGTTTGACTAAACAGATTATATTGAATACTGGTGAATTTTGTAAATCCTAAATGAACTAAGTGGAATAATTACCTGTCATACATAATTATGATGTACAATGTAAATGGTTGTTTATACATTATGTAGATTGATGTATGGTCTATCTCCTCATACAGATGTCCCACAGACTAACACTGCCACATAAATTAGATAAATGCAAAATTGCCGTGTTTAAGTATTGTTCTAGATTGCATAATTACTGAATATGTTTAAATGAGGTCATAATTGTTATAATAATATAAACTTGAGATTAGGGATGAACTGAAAATAGTTGGATTGGGAAGAGGAGAAAGGGGTATGCAAAAATGTAGTTCATTTTCTTTGATATAGTAGCAAATAATATTGAAGTAAGGAATTTTCAACTAGTTATATTTCATTAGAAGTAATATTTCAGATACACACAAAATGTGAATGCCTAATAATGTCTTTTACAAAATACCATTTGCTCTTATCACTAATCTCTATTTTTATGGAAGAAGGAAAAAACTTTAGAACCTGCATATTACACTTTAACCCTGGAGGTGCTAACCTGTTGAAATGGCTGTTTAGAAATTTTAAACAACGTGGATGCTTCTTAGCTTACACTTCAGTGATCTCTTCAGGTGAAGTTTGCAATGAAAACATAAGCAAGTAAGACCATTGAAAAGACATGGCTGGGTCATTGACCTCAAGTATGTTTTCCCCTTTTTCACATAGGGAAGGATCGTTCTTCTGAACATGTTGTCACAAAATGAACACCTGACAGCTTGATGAGTTGTTAAAATAGAATAAAATACTCTATTTGCTACAATCAAGGTTTGACTTGCTTCCAATGGCTTGCAGTGTCAGACTGTTCTACTAAAAATTGACTTCTCTTTTCAAATCATTCATTGTTCCAGGATATCTCTCATACATAAATGTGCCATATAGTATTTGATAAGTGGTGAAATTACGTAGTTGCACTTTCAAAGACCTCACCAAACTTTTGTGTCTTTTATTTGCTCTTTGAAAAGAGAAGTGACTGCTTTCACAATTTTGTAGAACCGGAAGAGATTTGAAACAAGATAAACCAAGACTGACAAGACAGTTCGGATTACTCTGGGAAGAGATGAGGACAGATACTGGTGCTGTATCTACCTAATTTCAAATAGTTTTAATAATTTTGTCTTTGTTTTCAATTATTTCTTGATGTCATCTCTCAGAATGGCTTTACTTCAAAAATCTCTTTTACAAGAGAGCACAAACAGAAGTTATATTACACATGCATTGAATATCTCACGATTTGGAGAGTACAATATTTAGTATGTGATTACCACAGTAAGTGTTAAATACAAGATGCTACTATCCTCGATTTGGAGTTTGAACTCCTATAGTATCTTTCTGGCATACTGGCACTTTCACAATAACCTTGACCTCTAAAGGACTCTAGAGGACGATTGAACTTTGGAAGTGTTTAATACTGTTTAGGATAGTCCTTCATCCATAAGATCCACAAGGAACAAAAACACAGAACTACTTCCCTAATATCATTCAAGTCTATAAATCATACACAGAGGGTTAACTGTTCAGGTCTTGAAAGATCTGTTGTCTCATCTGCTTGAGCAATGAAACATTTATTATCATTTATACCACAGGTTCTCAACCAAGGGTCTGCAATCTCTGGAAGGTTCCTACAGAACACAGTCATTTATATATATAAAATTTGAAATACATTATTTTATCTCTAGTGTGTTCACCAGATTTATTCCTTGCAGAGTGGAGAATTCTATGCTAATTGTTGTAAAATGTAAAACTAAATATGAAGCCCAAGTTATAATTCAGTTCACCATTTGTCACCAAGTTATACCAGTTTCACGGAATTCCACCCCTCATTAGTAGTTCTGGACAAGGTCAAATTGAAAAAATAAGACCAGGATTCTTATAATTGTGGATTGTATATTATATGCATGATGTTTTTTAGTTGTCTTTTACCCACCACAGTGGTGAATCAAATGATAGATTGGGTTGAGTAATTTAGAAGAATAAACTTGTAACATCAATACTACATATTCTTCAAGTCTTATATAAACATAGATTCATTGTGATGGGTAAAAGACAAAATAAAAACAACATATATATAAATTGTTAGTCTTAACACCATGCTAAACAGGATAAATATATGTTTTACACATATTAAAAAACTGAAAAAGATTGTTTACAAAGAACTTATTAAAATGAAATTTTTGTTTAGGCCTAAATAAAGAAATGATTCCTCTGTTAATATAGAAAGTATTGCTAATAAAGATTAAATACAAGGTATTGCTACTACGATTCTCTTATTTACATACTAGCCAGTTCTACTACAATGTACTTATTTCACTTCTTGATTATAAATCAGTGATTCCCAACCTTTTTTAAACCACAGACTGGCAAAATCTTTATAAAAAACTTACAGAGGAATAAAAAATATATGTGAACTATAGATACGAAGTACACAGAATGTAGATAGTTACACACAAGTTTGAAAGGATTTGAAATTTTAATTATGTGAATATTTATTCAGAAAGAATTATATCTTCACAATGTTTCTTTGGATCATCAAACATTCTTGCAATAAAGGATAAGAAATTGGGAATCACTACTATTAATTATGTTATATTTCTGCATTTATTTAAACAAGTTACTGCTACTTCAAACTAAGGAACAGTCCCCATGCTTATATATGTATATAATATCCGTGCTACAAAGTATAGTAGATTTGTATGTTTATATATACAGTATCCATGCTACAAAGTTGAGTTGGTTCCTGGGTTTATGTAGAAGGAAATATAGCTAGAAATTATAGCTAATCCTTATTTATATACACGGCACCAGTGCTACAAAGTATGATGGTTTTTTCTGAACTGTAGCTATAAACACTAGTATTCTGTTTGTATGCTACAAAAAGTATAGTGGTTTTCTTTGCAATACAAGATACTGGAATAAAAGTATGGTTGATTCTCTGTGTTTACATTGACAGGGCTGTTCTGAATTGTAAGAGGTTTTTATTCTTGCAATACATGGCTGACTTCTGAGTTTTCCTATTTCTATACAGTGTACTGGAGCTACAAAATATTGTTTAGGGGTGTTTTTATTGGCAGGACTGCTGCTATAAATTGTGGGGGAATCTGATTTATTTACAATGTACTGTTACAACAAACTTTGTGGGTTTCACCGTTTATATTTGATTTTCATACTTCAAAATGTTTCTTGTGGTTATGCATAAAGGATCTACTATAATTGTATTAAAACCTTTAGTGAGTAAACATTCACATAAAAACACTACTCAAAACCATGGCCAATTCTGGTATTCAAGTAAAGGGGACTACTATAAACAAGGGTGTATGTAAGGGTTTTTATCACTGCTACTGCTACTACATACTACATCATTAGGTTGAAAGCACCCTCGTTAACATGTAGTGAGTTTGGTTGCAGATTATATTTACGCAATACAGAACATAAACCTTCATTGATTTTACACTATACGGATTTAAGTAAACACAAAAATGAGTCTGTAAACATTATTTTACTAGATTTTTGTAATACATGTGCTACTTAGTTATTAAGATAAGAACTGGTAAAATTATACAACTGTTCATTGTAATTTAAACATAATTTCATTGACCGAAAAATAATGATTTTATGTGTTAATGAAGTTTAGCATATTATTCTTATTAACATGAGCTACCAATCAGATACACAAAAACAGCTGCAAGTTTACAAAAATGTCAACATATGAAGAATGTTTGAAGTAGATATAATCTTAGAAAATGAGAAGAACAGTAACCTTAAAAAGGTCCTTACATATGTATTAGTCAGTAGTAAAAGAAGAAAGACATAAGCCACCATCTCTAGCCAATTATGTGGACGGATTGACTTCAGTATTATCTCACACTAAACCAACAATTGTATTCTTTATATAGATTTTAATGATTGGTTTGTAGTTAGACACGCTGTTTCTGGCAGCTACAAATTAAAAATATAATAAAACGTGTTCTTTGAAGCACTCAGAGTTACAACATAAAAACAGTTGAAATTACATAAAATGAAACTGTCTTGAAGACATTCAGAGAAAGAGTTTAAGTAAACAGAAATAACATTACAGTTCTGTTTTAACACTATGTGATAGATGAAGCATAAAATCAATTATAAATGAACAGTAATCTGAATAGTTTAAACTTGTTTAGATTAATAATAATAGTCACAACCAAATCATTGCTTGTCTAATATTTACAATTTTCAAAATAGAAAGCAATAAGTCAAAAGGTAAGTAGTAATTCAAAGATGTATTTTACATACTTAACTTGAAATATGAAGTTAAAACCTGTGTAACAATGCTAATTATTTGTTTAATGGTTCCAAGACTGATAGCCTTTTTCTTAATACCAATTAAAATCATAGTAAGAACAATTTGAAGTTCACAATAATAAGTGCTGCAAATTACTATCCTAATGTACTAATGTACCTACTTAAAACAAATTATGCATTTTCTTTGTTTTTTTATTTGAGTCATTTACAAACATAATAATTATGCTACTATGATAAGCATTACTTTACACTATAATAAAAGTCTCAGTAATTATTTTTCTTCCAATCAACAGCTTCACATGATTTACAACACTGTTGACAGGAAAAAATCAACCTTTATGTTAATCATAATTGCTTTGGCACAATTTCTAGAAGTAGATAATATATTTTTCAAGACACATGAAATCTCAATATAATAATTCATAGATACAAATTTAACAGGAATATTAAACATACAGCTTCATGTCTTTTCATAAAGATTGTCTTCTTCATCTTCATATTCTTGTGTCAAGGCTACCTGTTCCTCTTTTGCATCAAAATGGACTCCAGCAGCAGTTGGAACTCTTTCGTAGTCTCTTGGAAGTTGCTGAGTTTTGTAGAAGCTGCCTGATTGAACTTGCAGAATGCCAAAAATAACAAAAAATAGAAGTACCGATGAGCCACTGATAATAAACACAATGGCAACAGCACTTTGAGTGGAGATGCGGTTCCCATTTGATGCTGTTCCATCCTTATGACTATTATGGCCAAACCATATGCTGCGGGGATGACCAGGAGACAAAGTACATTGTCCTGAAAAGCAGATACTTTATAAATTGTATGTTTTTATTTTTTTGTAGGACTGACAAATTACTTTACAAATTCTATACTTTTCATAAACACTCAAGTAAGAAGGCAAAAGCTGGTAGAATTACACATACTCAATAATGAAAGAATCAGTCAACATAGTAATTTATTACATAAATAAATAGACATTCTGAAAGAGAAGCCTGTGTTTTCTCTACCTGAAACATTATATGTTCAAAGACTACTTACTTGGGGTTCCATGTTTGTTTATTGTATGATAAAATATCCTGAGAGTTTTAATATTAGATTACTGAAAACAAAGAAAGTTAACACAAACAACCTATCAAAAAACAAAGTTATAATTTCCCTATACTGAAAATGTATTTCCAATAGGTACTTACCTCCCCTCACATAAATAGTTATTGTCCTTCAGTACTGCCCTCTATATGCAAAACAATGTTTTGCACATGCCACAAGCCTTGAAGCTCGCACATCTGGAATTGACTGATTCCAATGCATTTTGTATACAAATCATCATGTGACAACCCTCCACCAATAAGAGAATGACATACTCTCTTGAAGCATGCGACTCTCTCTCTATTCAATTCTACCAAACTATCAATGGAAATGAGAATCAGGGAAGAGAAACAATCCAGAAGAGGGGAAGGAAGGAGGAAACCTGACATTGTAGGGATATAAAAATCTATCAACTCGTACAGAAGAAAATCAATGGATGGTCCCAATAGAGGGGTGTGTAAAAACACCCACCCCAAAGAGACTAGAATGTGAGGTATGGAACAGGAAAAACACATCCAGTTGGAAAATTCAACAACCCTAGCAGACTGTGGAAGAAGTATTTGTATATGTGAAGACTACCCCCATTCAGAAGTAGCTAACTAAAGCTATACATCCAATGAATAGTGTAAGTAAAATCACCCCCAAAAAGTGGAAGTCACGTAAAATGCAGACCACACCCCAAAAGACATATGGTACCAGACCAGTCCAAAGGGCAGGGCACAAAACTGGAACTGAATCACATGATGAAATAACCTAAAACAGCACCCTGAAAAATGGAAAATAAGAATGAGCATACTCCAACATACAGAAATAGCAAACCCAAATGTGATCAAAGACTATATATGAAAGCGGAGAAGACCCAAGAAGTGATTGAGGTGGAGAAAAATGATGAATGGAGAAAACCTGTTGGTAAAGGACAGAAAATTGTTGGGAATGTAAAAGAATAAAGATGACTATCTCGAATTGGAGCAAAAAAAAAAAAATTTAACATAGCATGGCAGATATCCTACGTGATGCTAAATGTACAGGAGGGGCCCCAAAAAAAACAGACTGGTGGAGAAAAAAATCTGACCATAAGTCCCTATTAGCAGTGGACAGGAAAAAAACAGCAGTGTCCCACCCAAGAAGTTCCCAAAAGGATAGAAGCCATGTATTGAGGGAAAGAACAGAAGATGGCAACATGGAGGGAAGGAGGAGGAGGTATCCCTTGAAAATCCCTAAATATAGTTAACACACCAAAGAAAGGAAGTGGAAGGTAAACATTACCCATTGGATTCAGTCAATTCCAGATGTGGGAGCTTCAAGGCTTGTGGCATGTACAAAACATTTTTTTGCATATAGAAGGCAGCACTGAACGAGAACAGCTATTTAAGAGAGTGGAAATAATGAAACCAGTATCACGCTGGGATTCATGATTTATATCTTTTAATCCATAAGTATTACTTCAATATTGGATATCATAAGTGTTGTTAAAGCCTCAATCAGAGCAGTTGCTTTAGACATCATAAAAATAAATTTAATATTTCCTGTAACTTGATATTGCCATTAAATACTATTTTATGTAAAATGTTTAAAAATTCACACTACATAATAAACAGAATTTACTAAGACATGAAATTTTTGTAAAGTTGTATTCTTCATATTAATCATTTATATATGTTGCTATAAAGCCTATGATCACAACTTTGTGACTACCTGTGGCCACAGTTAATTTTCCTCTAGTTAAATGTTGTTAATTTTTCTTCTTAAGTTAATGATAATGAACTTTTACATAAAGTGGGCACATATTTGTAACTAATTTACTTTTCTCCAAATAAGATAACAGAGATTTTGTGAACTACGTGTTTATACGTAACTTTGATAAAATTAATTGCAAAATTGACATTAAATTCAATTTATACAAAGATGAAAATATACTGGTAGGTTCTTACCTGATGGGCTACAGTCACAACAAGGATTAGGATGTTTTGAGAGTATATGTTGTCTATCACAACATGGCATACACCTATTAAGTTCTATGTTCAAACGTAGGGGAGACTTGCAGGCATCACATTGATTTTCATGTGGTCCAAAACACCTAGCACAACTGAAATTGCACTTTTTGCATTTCTAGAAAAGAAAATTGTAGTTGAATTTTAAATGAATTGGAACATTTTAGTACATAAAAAGTTGTGATGAAACAGGTACCAATGGAGAAAAGTAGAAAAACAACTAGTACACTTGTGTTACATAAGACAACCTACTGAAGTATTCTGTTTTTGAAAAAAAAAAAAAAATTTTTTTTTTTTTTTTAGAAGAACAGTGTTTCGTGTTACAGAAGACATTATTTTAGTCTAATTAAATTGGTGTAGAGTAATTTTATAATTTTCAGATTTGTTGCACAAAATAGAGCATCAACATCATTTTCATGAAAAATCAATGACCAACCTCTCAAAAACTTAGCTAAGTATATTTATTGACGAATATTTGGGATATGTCTCTATCAAGAACACCTTTTTGACTATATGGGTTTAGTTGCAAAGCCTAAGTTAATAATATTTTAAGAGGAATACGGCACAGCAAAATGGTACTGTTGGGATAACAATACATTCCCCATATAATAATACCACCTTAACAATCTTTTGTTATAAACAATGTATGGTGTTGAAAGAAAAGTAAAAAGTTTCAGGATTTTCAATATTCAAGTTTCAAAGTTATAGTGTCACGTGCAAATAGTCATAATATGGATATATTCTTTATATACTGAAATACTAAAAGTTAAGGGAATAATAATAAAAAAGTAAATTCTTAATAGTACTGTTCAGTCTTTGAATTGGCCAATAATTACTTCTATTAATATGAGAATAGACAATAAATAAAATTAACCATATTTTTTAGTTTATGGCTATATATATTCATTTTTATGAAAATAAACAGCCATTTTGGGCATTACAATCAAAACTAAATTTTTCTAATTTCATTACTTACATGTCCACATAAACAATTATTTCTGATGATCATAGGTATTAAGAGTTGAAGTACTAATATACGGTACTTTATACTTGGGTGTTTGAGTGAAGCTGTGCCACGGACCACTAGGTTCGAGGTGGTGAAACTAGGGGTCTTAACCCTACGTGCACAGATGAGGTTGAAGTGTGCATCAAGACATTTTACTGAGTTACATTCAAAATATAAACTACTTTATTTTCAATGAATATCACTAAATTAAATTTTAATATCATACAAGTTTTAATTTTGTTCACTTCAAAATGCCAATTTTCGATTTTCTCACCACTCTATATGATGTCCTAAGGTTAACTTGCAACAATCTTCTATCACATCCTCTATCTCACAAAATGTCAATAATTCTCTCTAATGTTTGCTGTTGGATTATTTATAACAACAGAAAGATAATATTTTATTTTACTGATTTCCACACAAAGCTAACTCATTTTGATTTTTTGACCATAGTGTTTGAATTATTCTGCCTATAGTTTCATTGTTGCTATCTGAGTTCATACTGATCAGACAAGAGAATTATTTTAAGGCACTTGTATCTTAATTAGAAAGCCAGATAGATTATACTAGTTATAGGACATTTTGTTTTTTGTGCATGTTAATATTTTGTGTTCTGAACTGCATATTTGAAATAAATAAAAATTATTTCATGTATTAATACCAGTTACAAAAATTTTGGGCTAAGTTTCAATGGGGCCAACAGCAAAAAAACAAAAGGCCAGACATAAATACTCAATTTCTTATTGTTTATGTATACTTTTTTTTTATTGTTATAAACATAACTAAAATGTAAAAATTAAAAATTTATTAGGTTGTATAAGAAGACATTTATGAAAAAAAAAATTCTGTGAGATCTGCATGCTAGAGGCTCATGAATTATGTAATTAATTTATTAAACTTAAGCTAGATACTCACTATGCAATTTAGTTTTATTACACAAGTCAAAGAGCAATAAAATTAAATGAAAACAGTTGGGACATAGAACTGAAGATTTTAGGATAAACAACTGTAACTGTCTGTTACAATCTGCAGTCATTCAAGAAAGAAAAAAAGGGAAACTTAGATTTAAGTCATTTTCTTTTTGTGGTGGTTACAAGGTTAGTGAAATCGACTGAGACTATACAGTGTTAGGATAGAGAAAATATCAGATAAAATATAAATTTTTAATGAAAAACTTGATATACACTTAGGAGGTTCTAGGAATTATGCAAGCAAATTTGAAACTGTAAGATGTACTTTATTCTTAACATGAAAATCATCTTGCACTCAGACTAATGTAAGTCAGAATGAATAAAGTAAATTCAGAAAAATACTTTATCAAAAATTCTGATTTTGTGTGTGTGTGCAATACACCTTTAATGTTTACTAAAAGATCATAAATTTCATGAAGACTCATTAAGTAAATTTGAAATCATAGTAAACATTAATTCTTCAGTACAGGCTCAATCCAATGAACTGACTCTATGAAAATACGGTTGAGGATGAGGAAGAAACCATTTGAAGAGCATAAATAAGACGAGCTCAGAGAGTCAAACACAATAGCAGTTTGTATACAATCACCATTGGTAATACAGAGAATTGACAGAAAGCCAGACATCATCTAGGGTGATCATATAGAAATATTTTAATAATCACCAAGAAAATGAATCCACTGGCCAGCTTCATGATCCAGCAGTCACAGCACTTACAACAGTGAAGACAGCCCTACCCATGCTACTACACTCAAGGCTGTCACATCCATTAAGCTTGCAGTTGTTATCAAATCAAATGAGAATCTGCAAATTAAGCAGGAAATTTAGCAGTTTAACCTGTTAGTCTTGGGGCTAGAACTAAATGCTAACAAAAGCAAAGTGAAAGAGAGAGAAGAACCATGAAGCATATAACTACTAAGTCCTAAAATGGCTTCAAAACTGAAAAATGAGCAATAATAAAACTGAAGTCTGCTGATGAAGGTTCATGATGTGGGTGAGAAGTGTACAAGCAATACAGCTATAAGCAGGTCTTGCAGTTAAAAGAAAGTAGGTTTTTGGGATGCTTGAACAGTAATCTCCTTGATTGAGCTAGCCCCCATTTAAATGGTACAGAAAGTGAAATGGACATATGGGAAATGAAGCAACTAAACAAGTTAGAGGTAACTTTGGACAGAACAGTGAAAGAATTGACACAAGGCAGTGGAACAAGTTTCAGTAAACTGACCATTAACTCGTATGGACAAGTTATCTGACAATAATGCACTTTGATGTACAATGTGAATTAGCCACTGTTTAATTGATTCCTATCAGTGATGAGCTTTTCAGATAACAGTTAGTAAATTCTAATGTTAGAAATGCTGAACAAAATGTTGTAATGAAATCAAATTAAGCTAATTAGGTGTTAAGTTCTGTAACTGAAATTTAAAAAAAGCTTCAAATGTGAAGAGTAAAAAATAACTGCTCAATATAAAGGCCATCAAAAGGTGGTATAGTGTAAGTGAAGTCACAAATCATATAAATCAGTTTCTTTTCAATTGTGTTTAAGTCAGTAAAACAAAGCAAAAAAGTTCATTTGTCTAAAATCATGTGTGAAGTACATAAGCAGCATGCAATAACATATAATCTTTCAAGTTTGTCTCAAATACTGTAAAAAATTGCAGCATAAACAAACAAGTAGTATCATAGCTCATTTGTTTCAGTTAAGTAATTTATCAAATTGTAATGAAGATGACTAGAAACATCTTTTCTGGATAATTAAAGTTTCAAAATTCTTTAATGCTTTTTTCATTGTTCAGACTTTTCACTTAGTACAAAAAATATGTGAATTACATTTATTTTGGCGACATTCATGGATGTGTATATGCCCAATATAAGAGACAATGGGTGTGATATGTGCACTATCCATCCAATGAATTTGACTAACTTAGTATTTAACTATAATTTCCAATACTGAAAATAATGAACACACTGTCAGAAAATTTGATGTCTTACAGACTACTCTACTTCAATACAAGAGAAACAAACAGTAGGATATACAATAAAGGACATACTACACAGAAAGATTTATTTCAAATTCAATTGTGTTTGCTTATGTTAGTGTAAAACTGAATTATCTTTAAACGTAATGCAGATTATAACTGTACAAAGCATCATAAGTGGAATTATCTTATCGATAAATGTGAAATTATAGCCCCAGATTTTATTGAAATATAGCTTTTAGGCACTGTTGTAGTACAAAAAGTTTCCACACAATTTACATTTATGTTGTAAAAAGCAGATTCCTTACTTCAAACCCTAAAATGTGGGTAACTGAAGTATACTTTGTAATAGTTCATGTAAAGTTTCATGTTTTTATAGTTTTTAATAATATTATTACTGTTTTTCATAAAATTCATTAATATTATTTTGTAAGATCATAGAGAGGTTAAACAGCAGAAGAAATGGAATCCTGAAACTTGTAAAACTGTAAGTTGAAGCAACATTGGATTGAAATAGTGGTGAAACCAATTACATTGTTATATTTTTTGTTTGTTGATAGTATTGGTGGAATATCAGATACCCACTGTTGTTGATTTCAGCTAGTTGGTATCTATCAGATTTTGGATTTTCAAAGCTGAAGTTTAGTTTAATTAAGAGTTGACACATGGTCAGTCTGGTGGCCCAAAATAGCAGCATGTTTTCCTATCATTTTTATTAAATCTGGCTAGACTTCAGTATTATCAAAATTTTGTGGGGAGAAAATAAGAAACATTTTTAGAAGTTGCCTTTATAAACAAAGTGGTGTACTGTACAGTTTTATAGTAATTGAAGTTATGGTTTCCACTGTTCAAATCCTATCTAATATTTCTAAGCTGGCATGATGAAGATTTCTTCTACATGTAACATCCTAAAACAGTCTCCAAACTACTGAAAAATTTCTTAGGTTCGTCAGGTAATCTAAATTTATAAAATTTGTCAAAGCATGTAATAAGAAAGCATTTGTATATATTTCTAATATACCTTTAAAAAAAAAATCTAAAAAATTGTTAACTTCAGTTCAATTCTAAAGCTTGTTAGAACTGAATGTTACGGAATTAGATATAGCTTTAAATACTTAAACTGTCTCACAAAAAAGTTAAAGTAAGCCAAAACAGCTTTTTTATGTATGGACATGCCATCACAACTTTTATATGTAAGTTTGTTTAAACATGAAATTACACTTAAGGTTTACACAATTTGTACAGCATGCAGCAAAATGATCCAGCAATATATGTTAATCCACTTCCACATGTTCATAAATTTCATAAATACACCTGACAAACTGAGAAAATGTGGTGCAAGTAAGACATTCCAATGTATGTTTTCCTATCAATGTAAATAACTTCACAGATAACATTTTGCTTGTAGACACTGTACATTGCCAGTATTTTCTAACATACAGGGTGTGCCTTTAAAATGGAACTGTATGAATTATTACTAACTTGGAAAATACATTTTTTATAATTTCTGAAGAGCAATTTCTACAATGTATTCTTTGATACTTAAAATCACGATAATATTATGGAACAATTTACTCACCTTAGTTTTGTAGTCATAATATTCATCATCCAAACAAGGAATACACTTGCCATCTTGCTGTGTTGAATTCCCAGGACATGTTGTACATTCCATGTTACTTGGGCCTTTAAAAAAGTTTGATGCTTTTTCACTATTAAACTTATATTATAATATTTAATACTAGATAATGCTTATATCTCTCAGATAAAACAAAAACTGGAACAGAACATGTCTCATTACCTGAAAATACATCTATTCCTCTTCAGTTTATAGACCTGGAAAATATTTTGACTCTCAAGTCACATGAAGGGTTTGTTTGTTAAATATGGTAAACAAGTCTATCTCTCAATTGTCCAAAACATAAAGTACCTATTTTATATAGGTCCCACAATTAAAATACATATATAATAGAAATACCTGTACCCATTACAAACTAATACATGTATAATAATTTGTTCTTCTACTCCAGCAACTATGCACTCTAGTTTAACCAACATTTCTATAATTCATAAAAAAATGTTTTAATATTAAAGTGACCTTTTAAAGAATGCACAGTATTTGTCTTTCAGAGTACTGCAAAACATTTCTGCTAGACTTGAAAATATTACTTACAGTATCAGAGAGACTGTGACAAGATTAAACTTTATTAATTAAGTTTATAAAAACAATCTTATTTAATGCAGCCACCACACATTTCATCAAGTTGAAAAATCTTCCAAACACATTCAATTTCGGCAAATGCATTTAAAACAGGCAGTGCGTTTACACTTCATGCAAATATTTGAATGCTTCCACATCTATTTTCAATAAAACCTAAAGCATATTTACTGTATGACAAAGATGTTGTTCTATTTTTTAAACCATTTCATGACTGATTGGGGTAGCAAGATTATCCTAATTATATTTTTTTCTTGTTCATATTTTTGCTAAAATCTTACTTTGTACTATGTATAACTGACTTATCATGTAATTTCTAAAACAAGTTTAAAAGTACTAATGTAAACTGAGCTTTCTACTAAGAAATTAATATCACTAGGAACATGTTTGGTTTCTTTGTAGTTAAGCACAAAGCTACACAATGGACTATCTGTGCTCTGCCCACTACAAGTATCGAAACTCGGTTTAAGAATATGATGAAGGAAAAACAGTTACAACATATAATCTCCTGTGCGTGTTTTTTTTATTGTGAAAAATGGTGCAGAACATTTACAAACATCAACTGAATGGAAGGCATTGTTACTGAAATAAAGGAAACACAAGGCAAGCAGTGTTGTACTCTAACAAAAACAGAGACAAATTCCAATGTTAATGAAATTATCAGTCTCAAAGATAGGCTTGTAATAAATGCACATTTTTATGATAATCTGTGAAGCTATTTTATACACACCTCATGTTTTAATAATTATGTAAAATGAAAATAAGAGCTCAAAAAAGGTAAATCCTGAGAAAAGTTTAAAAAAGTGTGGTAACCATGTCAGGATTTTATGTATGTGTGGATGTACAGAATTCTTTAGTTAGTGTCTATGATTTGGTCGTGATACATTTTAACAATAAACAAACAGCATACAGTCCACTTGTTTTAAAATAATGTATTAAAACAAGCCAAGCGTATATACAAATGTTTCTTACACAGTTAATCAACATAGTTGTATCCAGAGCTTTAAGTAATTGTCTCTTTTCCTCAAAGTCCACACAGGCTGGTTCAGTTATGTTAGAACACAATTGACGAGACAAATTATACTCCTCTGCTCTGTTGTTACAATACAGTCAAAGATAATTTCACTTGCATTACTCTGTTGTTTGTCAAAATTGTATCCAGAGCTTTAAATAATTGTTTCTTTTCGTCAAAAGTCCACACAGGTTTGTTCAATTACTTTATAACACAACTGACGAGACAAATTATTCTTTACGGCTAAACTCACAAACACACAAAATCGCTTCTAAAAGTAACTAAATTTAACACTCGAGCTATTCTTAAATTAAAAGAATTGTGAATGTCTAAAAAACCACATTACCCATCTCAGCCACTATTTAAATTTATCATCTCCATGTAACAGAACTTTTTAGGTACCTAAATGAAATGATTGGCTTATATTTGTAGCTATTATTGATATATATGCTTTGTTCATCATTATTATGTTTTGTCATAAGTATTATTTCTTTATTAGTGTAATCTTATAAATATGATTATTTCATTCATTATTTGTATATGAAATAATGTATTTTGGTTGTCAGTATAATCTAATATGATACTTTAAATTATTTTCCACTGATTAACAGAATTTATATTGATATGTTTGAAGTCTTTTGAAAGTAATATCTTACTGCCATTAATTATACAAGTTTGTGTGGTCATCATATATGTGAAAAGATATATAGATGTTTAATGTGTAAAGATTGTGTGGTCATCATATGTGTGAAAAGATATATGGATGTTTAATGTGTAAAGATCATGTTAATAAATAAACAGTGGTACAAAACCTATTTGATGAGATTGTTTAATACCAGAAATTACTGTTTCCATTGAAAATAATAAAAATTAGTTTCCTTCAGTTTCTGAAATGCAAAGGCTTGCACAAATTATAATTTATTTCTATTTTGTTGAATAATCAATCATCTAGGTCAATCACTAAAGTTCAACATACCTTTACATGATTCACAACTGTGATGACAAGGAAGGCATTCTGTGATATTATTTCTGGAGGTGTATTTATAATATCCCTTAAGACAAGACTGTAGACATTGTCCATTAAGTAAAGCATGTCCATTAGTGCAAGAGGAGCACTCATATTCAGTTCCCTCAATGCATGTGAAACATGAGGAATGACACTGTTGGCACTTTCCTCTTGTGTCTCTAAACCACCTGTGAAAAAAGCATGTGAAAAACATGTTTTAAGAAGACTGACTTCAACTTAATATATTCACTGCCTATGATGCAAGAAAAAGAAATAAATTAAAAACTGGTTTCAATTATTTCTCACCTATTTTTCTTGGTCGAATCACACAAATTCATCACCACACATTGACCGTTATAGTTTTAATACTATAACTTCTAATATATCCTGTGTATCTTCACAAAATTTCACAAACTTTCAGTAAGTGTAAAGATTGTTTTATAGATAAAAAACAATACAATATAATTAAGTATTTTTACTCAAACTTTCTCAAAAAGTTGACTGTTCTGAGTGCAAAGTGATTTCATGTTAAGATTAAAAATATTTTTCTTCCTCTCAAAATTGTCAAATTTTATTTACATAATCTCTAATACATCCTAAATAAATTTCAAACATTTTATTTAGTAAAACTTTATATTTTATCTGTTATTTTCTCTACTATAACTCAATACAAAGTTAGTTAACTTGACTGACCTCATAACCACAATAATAAAATACAAAATAAATCTAAATTACCATTTTTTCTTTCTAGAATGACTTCAAATTATAACATGAAACTACATTTGTTTATCCTAAATAGCTTAAATCTCATAACAGTGTATATCTGTTTCTACTTAAATGTTATTGTTCTTTGCCTATTGAAATATGTCTAACTAATAATTCAGCCACACAAGCTGTAAATCACTTGATAAACATATAACTCACACTACCCTATCTAATTACGTAAAGCACGAGCTATTCCCGAGATGCTCACCAGCATTCCTCATTAACATTTTTATTATTATTATTAATTTTTCTTTATCTTACATAATCTAACCTCATCTACTGTAATAAGTTTCTAATTTTTACATGTTATTAACTTTTATAATAAGTAAAGATAAAGAATATATATTAAAAAAACATAATACATACCTGGATCTTCTTTTGTTTTTACTGTTGAATGTCAATGAAATTTAACCCAGTGTTTTTTAAACTAATGGTACTACTATACTAAATAATTTTTTATTTAATTAAATAATGCACCTAAGAACACAGAATAATAACACATAAAGAGCAGACAACATCTGATAAGCATCATAATATTTTTGGCTTTCTAACTATGTGATAAGAGCCATTAAAAGTTCATCAATGTATTTCCCGTGGGAACAGAGTTTAAACTGGAAGCAAAATAGACAATAGAAAACAGCTTTGGCTTTCTATTGGTTTTAAATAATACAGTATTAAAATCAGAGAGAGAGAGAACTATTGGCAAGTTGTGAAAGAAAGAATGTGACAGATGGGCATGAGAAGAAGGGTCTGATTTTCTATTTTATGGCTCTGTAACCAAATAAGACTGAAGACTATGAAAATTATACTTTGCCTGCATGATAACAATATTATAATGAGTAATTTATGTTAAAAGTCCATATTTCTCAGAGGGGTGATAAATTAGAGAAGAGGGGGATACCTAGAGAATAAATGTCACAATTCTCATACAAGGGTAAGATCAAGGAATTACTTAAATATTTCTTTATAAAATTAAGAGCTTAAAACTTATGTAATATTAAATTTAACATTTTCCTTATCTGAAAATGTATTTCCAATAGATATTTGCCTCTTCACCCAGAAAGCTATCTTCCTCATGCATCTGCCTTAGAGATTTGCATACCACTAGCCTTTCGGCAACTCCCATCTAAACTTACGAGATTCCTCATGATTTGCACCACTTCATAATGATACAATTATGTACCAATAGCCCTCCATCAATAGAAGGGTGATATAACCTCCCTGTGCACTAGCTTCCTCTATAGTTCTTCACTCATGATAATATTCATTCTATGATGAGGCAAGTAAAACTAAAATGCACTGGAAGTGGGAAAGAAGGGTGGGAAGTGTGAACAGAGGTATCTGTCAGAAATACATTTTCAGGTAATGAAAATGTTAACTTCCAAGGCAATACACACCTCTTCATATAGAAAGCTAGAATCCCACTTTAATTTAGTGAAGAGACCAGTGCAAAAGTTACCTAGATGAACTCCCTTCAGAAAGCACTCGAAAGAAACCCATGGAGTGTGACATCTAATGACTAGGACTCCTTAAAGGGCACACTTGTGGAATACTGCATCTCATCTCTTCCAGGGTATACTCTTCACCCAGATTGGAAAGGAGGAAGAAGCACACAAGCCTCATGGGTATGGGTAGAATAAGAACATGGCCATCCGAGGACTTGTACACAAGAGGTCAGAGAGCCAATTTGTGTAGCATGGTTGGGGTATGTACAGACTGTACCAAGTGCACACCTCAACTCTACCATCAGACTTATTGGACCGACACAATCTGCAGGAGGAGAACACTGAATACGTGCCATGTTGTCTTTGTCAACACTTGTAGGAGGAGGGTACGATATGCTAGTAAGTGCACATCTCAACTATACTGAACAGAAGATGATTGCAGTTAGTTGGTGGAACCTCTCCAGTCCACATCCAGGTATGCGTCTTCTGGTCCACAGTAGGAGTAGGGCCTCAACAGACTTCACCTCATGACCAGAAAGCAGAAGAGAAATGTAACTTCCATTCCAACAACCCACACCTGGTACACGTGCAGGCCCAATACACAACCAACACCAGGCCACCTGGGAGTCTGACATCCAAGCAATGGTAGTAATAGGAAATGCAAATGTGGTGGAGAAAGAAGGACTGGGGAAGAAAATACCTTGAGATATAAGGAAAGGTGAAAGATGGTAGATAAGGCAGCCCAACAACCCTTTTTCAAACAGCCAGATAAAAAAAGGAGGAGAGATGGCCCACAATGAAACAGCCAGGAGGAATGTGACAACAGACGGATTAATGATAAGAAACATGTCACTTACACTGATAGATGGACAACAAGAACATAATTCCTGGATGGAACAATGATGCATGAGGTTAGAGCAATAGAGAAAGTTTGGGAGGTAGGGGAAGAGGGGTACAGGTAGACAGAATGCAAAGAAGAGGGAACCAGAGTTGAGCTAGCCAAAGAGGTGCAACTTGAAGGACATGACAAGCAGTGTCATGAATCAATGCTAGGATCCATGGCAGAAGTCAGAGAGGTGAGTAAGCATACATGAAAAGATGAAACTAGTCCGAACTGAAAGCTTCGACAGCCAGGGCTGAATGATGGGGTATGGGAGACCAAAAGAGGGGAAGCTTGGAAATGAGAGGTGTGGCAAAGCCATTGACATGCAGAGTCCTCAGAAGAGAGCACACCCACTGAAAAACCTGAGGGTAAAGAAACCACTCCATGGGCAGAATACAATCCGGCTGAAAGAGCTGGTCCACAATGAGGTTCATAGCACCCAGAACATGACATTCAATGAAGCAAACCCACTGAGAATGAGCCAAATAAAGAAGGTCAAGGGTTTAACAACAAAGGGTCCTGAATATTGTGCCACCATGATGATTGATATAGGAAACAATGGTGGAGTTGTCAGAGTGAACCATAACCAAATGATCCACCAAGAGGGGGAAGGAAATGGGAACATGCCCAATGCATAACAAACAGTTCGAGCATACTGATGTGAAGTGAAGCCTCATAGTGGGTCCAGGTGCATGATGTAAGCTCATTCAGAGATGCCCCCTATTCCAAGAGGGAAGCATTGTTGAAGAGGTGTAAATTGGGTTTAAGTGGAGGTATAGGCACTCCAACAATAGTATTGGGGCAGTCTAGCCATGAAGGAATGTCTGTGAGAAGTGGAGAGAACAAGAGAAACATATGAGCACAGCACAATGGAATAATGGTTCCAGAGAAGCCATGATCCCAAAAGTGATAGAACTTCTCAAGCAGTATGAGTAAGAGAGGCTCACATCCTGGTGGCAGAATGTTCCAGCACTTGCAAATGAAGAGGAGAAGGTTCAGCTCAGCTGAGAAAGGAGTTGAAAAGCACTCCCAGGTGGATGAGGTATTGCATATGGGTAAGAAAGGACTTAGAAATTTTGAGAAGCCACTCTAGATAGGTGAATTTCCAAGGAAGAAAAGAAGTGTAGAGGTGAGCCTCCTCCTGCAAATGGGACAGAAGAAGCCAATTGTCCATATAGTAGTCGAACCGTAGACCAAGTCTGTGGAGATAGCTGTTGAAGTCATACAGGGCTGACACAATGCCGAGCGGAACAGCTCTGAACTGGAAGATAAGATCATGATGAATGAATCAATGGAAATGTCTTGAAGACTGTTCAAAGGGAATATCAAGGAATGTGTCTGAGATGTCGACCTTGATCATACACAGTCCAGGCAAAAAGAACCAGCAGAGGGAAATTTTCCATACAAAAAATGAAGGATGATCAAATAACAATTAATACAGGAAAGGTCGATGACCAGCTGCCAGTTTTTATTGGGGACCATGAAGAGGTGAGAGTAAAATCTCAGTGAAGGGTCATGCATTCTCTCGATGGCCTGTTTGTGCAAGAAATTTAACACTGCATCTTCCAGACATTGAAGATAAATGGGATCTGAAGGAGAAGTAAACAGAGTGAGGGCTGAGAAGCAGAGAAGTGGAAGGATAAGCTGTGGGAGAAGTAAAGAGTGACTCTGCAGATAGGTGTTCCCAAAGATGTGCATACTGCAGCAGATGAGCACCCAAAAAAGTCTGAATCCATCCTGTAGTCACTGATGAGCCCAGAAAAACTAACATCAGGCCAAAGATTGTCAAGTAGAAGGAGAAGGACAGAAAGAAAGGGAATGAAAAGCAGGAAACAGGAGGATTAAGATGAGACACGGTAGAAAATGTTGAAGTTGGGATAGGCAAGAAACTAATGACGTTAGGAAGGACTGATGCCAGGCAGCCTCTGTCCATGGTTCAATGGAATCAGGAATACCTCCAAAAACAGAAAGGTTAGGAAGAGGTCACGTAAAAAAGGAGGAAAGAAGGCAGATATGGAACAGAAGGGTATCCCTACCCAACAACAGAATGAGTAAGGAAAGGGCAGAAGTAACAGTATGGGACATGGAATGGGAATCGCCAGTAAAGTCATCTGGGGCTTGATGAAGTGTTTCCAACATGAAATGCAGGGAGAAAAGGTAACAAAGCACAGAAAGTAGGATTAGGCAAAGATGAGAGAATTGAGCACTGGAGAGTGATACTGACACCAGTAGGTCAACCCCCCCAAACAGGCACAAAAAGACTCCAGAAATGGGAAGTTCAAATAACAATAGGCGATGATAAGTGAATCTGACATGGGAGGAGAATGAGGCATCAAACCATGGAAATGGAGTTGACCTAAAAAGGATGTAGCATGGACATAATATCAGGAGAAGAGGGCAAAAACGAAAAATTTATTAGGGTGAGAGATGTGAAGGAGGGAATGTGAGGAGTCATAAGATATGGGAATGGCAGATAGAACAGAGCATACCTGATTGATAAGGTCCCTATAATGTGAGGAAGTCTAAACAGTCTCCTCAATAGGGAGAGAGGATCCTAAAGCATAATCAGATGGAGGAAATAAATGGTCAAAGTCATCTTTCTCATGATATTCTTTCTTAGAAGAAATGCCAGCTGAATAGATGGGTGCCAAAACTCCCAGCTGCCTCCAGTAGCCAAGCTAGAAACTTGACTAGTGTGAAGATATTTCTCACTCAGTTCAGATGTTGAAGTAACACAACCTTGAGAGTTCATAGCTGATAAAAGAAACAAAGTCCTTTTATCAGACTACAAATCTCTAAATTTTAAGCAAAAACAAACATGTCTTAGTCAAGCAATGCCAAAGAAAAAGAATGAAGATCATGAGTGCATAAGTATAGATGGAGCTAGTGCACAAGGAGGTTATGTTGCTCTCCTATTGTTGGAGGGCTATTGCTGCATAATCATGTCATTATGCAGTGGTGCAATTCACAAGAAATCTCATGAGTTTAGATGGGAGTTGCCTAAAGGCCAGTGGCATGCAAATCTCTAAGGCAGATGCACAGGGAAGGTAGCTTTGTGTGTGAAGAGGTCTGTATTGCCTTGGAACTTTGATTTATTAACTATGTTTTGATGCCAAGTTTATTCATATACCACGACAGTATAGTAGTTTAATTATATCTTGAATGTAACTCTAAAAGGTCGTGACATGCATATTTTGACCTGCCTGTAGCAAGAGGGTTAAATAACAGTCCAATACTGCCTAGTCAGCAGTATCAATAATTCAATATCTAAAAATTCAATACCTCAATATCAAGTAGCCTATCATGTTCCTCAGCTGTTTCAAAAAATATCAATACCTGATATTTGGGAACTTGGCTAGTTAACTTATTACTTACTTGTGAACAATGTCAATAGCTCAATGTTTAAAGTTTTCTCTGGTTATTTGGCCAGTAGTCCAAGTGCAAGCTAAAAATATCATTTATCTTTTCTACTATTATAAATAACAAATACTATTCCCCTTTATATGGTTAGGATTATAATACTACAAAGGTTTCTGGATTGTTTATTTTCTGCATTAAATACCTTGAAGGACAGGATGCTATACAGTTGTCTTCATGAAGAATGTACTTCTCTCGACACTTCTGACATTTCCCTGGACCAGATTCCTTACATGTACTACACGTTTCTGGACAAGGAATACATTCATACTTTTTGCTATGACCCATACCAACTGGGCAAGACTCCATGCATTGACCAAGATGTAAGTATCTAAAGAAAAAAGGTACAGTAACGGCAAAATAGTACCAATGACTTGGTAAGATTGTTAAATTTTTCTACTTAGATAAAATATTTATCTTATGCTAGAACAAATATTCAAGTTATTAAAAAAGTTGTCCCTTATTGAATGTTTAGGTAAAAGAATAAACTTAATAGTAAAATATTTGCATGAAAAACTCCTAAACTGATAAACAATTTTAAAGATAAACAGAATGGTTTCCATGATTCTTCACTAACTAATTTGTAAAGAATACTGCTTTACATAATAAGGCATAATGTCAACAAATGATCCTTACCAAGGACTTCCTTCCACTAAAGTTGTATAAATCATATAAAGTAACATAAATACAATGAAAGGTATACAATTTTAAAGTAAATGTGACAATTTTTGTTTCTAGCTTCACCTGTTTTACAATGGATATTCTAAACAAAGATATTTAATCTTGCATTTCAAAGTTTAATTGTAACTGTAGTTCATTTGATTTAGAAGTTCCGTGCAAAGCAACATAATGGCTATCTGTGCAGAGTCATCCCTAATTTTGAAATGATAAGACAAGAGAGAAGAAAGCCATTCAACAGCACCTATCACCAATTCTCTTGACTGATCAAATAGTGAAATTTGACTGTAACTTGTATAGCACAGCTTTAAAGAGCAGAGCACGTTTTTTGGTAACAGAATGCAAACCACAAATCCTCAGATTCAAAGTCCATGGAATACGAGTCCATGTCAATCACAATAATTCAAGTATATGTGAGGCTACTCATTAACAAACCTGAAACTCCACCTTAACTTTCAAACATATAAGATGGTGAGATATTACTTTACTGCTAAACTCCAGAAATGAAAGAAATCTGTATAATGTCTGATATTTCTAAAACTTTTAATTTCCTATTTCAAAGTTTACACTATACAGAGAAATTGGTATTACTAAATCAGATATTTTTTAAAACCTAACAGCTTATGATTGAAGCCCTTCCTCTTTATTTAATCCATGCTTAGAAATTGCAGTCCCACAACTTTGCTTAAACATTGTCTAGAAGATACATTCCTATGTCTGTGATTAAACTTAATCCAGTAATTGCAGCTGTAAATCTTTATGTAAACATAGCCTAGAGATTGCATTGTTAAATCTTTATTTAAACACATTAAGTTACCTTTTATTGTATGACTGAACTTAATATTCTTTCAAACTTACATAAAAAACAAATAATTTTCAAAAGATAGAAAAAAAAAAAGATAAGTAAGATAACAGACATTAAAATTTTTGTTGGGGTTGTTGAGAGTTTATCTCAGCAGCGATGGCACAAACTAGGTCCATATAAAATGGCAAACACACTCAAACCTGGAAATAACTCCCCAGGTTTCATGCATGACATTACACTACATTTAGCCCTAATAAATTGTAAGAATGTCTTCAGTCAATTGATTCATCCACATGACTTTTTTTTTACTGTTATCTCACATATGTATGAAACAGATTTTCATACACTAGCATTAAAAGTAAGAAAGTAAAAAGAAGAGTATGCCAATTAACACTGATACTGTACAAAGAATTACACACAAACACAACTCACTGAGAGGGTGGACATGTAATGCACTCTAAGTGGCTTGGACCACTGCAATTTCCACAAGAAGAGTCACATGGTTCACAAACTTGCTCACTGTTAATATAAAAACCTGAAAAGAATAATTAAATTTCCAGTGGTAAGATCACTATTTTTTTCTTATTCCTTTAAGAAACCTAGCATGAATGATTTACACCAAGTATTTACACCAAAGACTCCTAAATAATGATATCTATTCTTGAAACAGTTTGATGTTTCATGTAAAAACACTTTATAAACTGTTTCTGAGTTAGTAGAATTCAAAATAATACATGTTTAAATGAAGAACAGACAATAATATTTTATCAAAAGTTATAGCAATACATTGAAATAAACACTGAAAATACATACACCACACTGTTAGTTCAGTTTAGGTAACCTTTATGTAAGCATCCTATGCATACTAAATAGATATTTTTGTTCATCAAGCTCAGTTAGCAAGAAGGCTGAAAGAAACACATTTATTTTTACTATTACGGTGATAATTGATAAGAATTATGATCGTACTACAAAATGATTGTTTTCTGAGAAATTAACCTCTGCAAACATGGACATATGGGGTAACGATTGTCAGTAGTATGTGATGAAATCAGGACTCGCATGATGATCTATCATATAGATGACATGAGAGGATCTTAAAGATAAAAGAAGCTTAGAACTTGGAATACAATTTTTAATATTTATAAGGTGTACACTTGATGGATCATTACTATATTTTGCAAGATTTCGTCAAGCAAAAAGAATGAATCCAGAACTAAAATGAATATCTGAATAGTATGCAAGTTGTAACATGAAGACATAAACTGAGTTAGCTTTATCAGTATCCACCTTAAGCAAGTTGATAAATGTCACAGCTGGTTCCAGAATTGTGGCACACTTCTATTGTTAAATCATGGAATAAGGTTCAATGTCTGAGTAAGTTACTTTAAAATTTAAATAATAATAATAATATAATGCTAAATATTCTTAACATGATAATTCAATATAATTTGAATAAAATGAGAAAAATGTTGTTTATAGAAAGGTGCTTAATTATAACAGAATCATTTTTGTAAAGTATACTGTCTTTTGTTTCTCCATGAACTGCTTCTGTGAATTCTTTCCTCTCATGTAGATATCTTCAAATGGACTGAATAACTTGGTAATCGTAATACATACTATCTTTGACTACAACCTACTTACATTGCAAGTAGGTATGCAACTCTTGTGAAAGTTCTTTACAAAAATTAAACAAGTATATGAAATTTTTTTAAATTTGAGATTAAAGGTCCTATACGTATGTAGTTCTTGAAAAATAATATATAATTTTGATCTTTTTAATGCAATGTTTTTCTCATGCTATTTTTCTTTTCGCATATTGCTTTTAATCTTAAAATGAAAATTACTTTGCATGTTGGATAGTACTTTTGTGCATCAGAAATTTTCTAAATTTTGCATGTGAAATCCGTACAATTTCCATATAGTTGTCAAACATTTCTTGAGAAAAAAACTTAAAATTTTATCTGTTATTTTCACTAACGAATATCTGTACAGATTCAGTTGATTTGACCAATCTCGTAACCACAATAAAAAATTAGGAAATAAATATACATCATGCCTTTTTAATTCTAGAATTACTACAAATTATAGCATGAAACATAAATATTTAGATTAAAGAGCTTAAATCTCATATCATTATACATTTATATATATTTATTATTTTTATTATATTCACCTTTCAGTCATGCCTGGCTAACAATAAGAAGTTACAATGACACAGCACACGTGCACTCATGTTACCATATCCGATAATATAAAAGTGACCTTCAGTCTTTACAAAGTGACCTGTCTTGGCTGTGTTTTGTGGACTAGTATTTTGTAAAATACAGTCACATTTCAATTATTATACATTATATATGTATATACATGATTACTATTTACAAATAAGTTGAAGAACTTATTTTTCTTAAAACATAGAACAGTAAATAAAGAAATAAATCAAACAATTATTTCTTCTAGTTCTGACCTTTATACTCGGTTGCTGCTTGTCATAGCTTGCTAAGCCTTAAGATATCTTGCACGTGGAGGATGTGAAACAAAATAAATTTTTTTATGTTGTATATATATATATTTGAAATAACCAAAAAATCATAAATTACTATATTGATACCATAGAATACCACTATAATTTATCAAACTTAGTAACTAAGCTGTATTTCAGACTAAAAAATATGAAATTTCGAGCAGTCTAAAGACTCAACTTACCAACTTGAAGTCTTATATCAAAATAACATGTTGGCATCACAATATCTGAAAATAACTGAGACAGCCACTAGGTGGACATTCTGAGCTTTTGATTGGTTATTCACATGTCATACACAGAAGTATGTATATATAAGGGATCATTTCCAAAAATGAAATGAGGTGAGCAGGGCCACTGCATTTGATTCAGTATATGAGCAATATCCCAACAAATAGAAAAGACTCGAGGTTCTTATTTTATATTCTAGCTTGTCAATATCGGTAATTTGAGTTCCTAATTCATACAGAACTATAGAATTTGTATTTGGACATTATAAACATCTAATTTGAACCACTGCTGCATTCAACATACCATGTGACACACAAAAATCGATGTTTAGGCTTGTTTTTTAATGCTTACTTTTAAATTAAGAAATTAAATAATGTATAATACTAAAATTTGAATTATAATATATAGTTTGATACCAAACTTAATGACATAAATTCATAAAATAGTAGTTCAATAAAATTCTGAATGTGAGTCAACAAACGCAATGACATGACCTGTGACCCGTGTGGAAAGGGTTAATAGCATATGAGACTATCCCATCTCAGTAAAAATATGTTTTTTGCACATACAAATACCTACGTGTTTTTCAAATGTTTAGCCAGTAATCAAAGTAAGGTATTCACTTCCACAAATACTTTATTTCAGAATGAGATAAGAATAATTCTTTCCACCAAAACAATCAACAGTTGTCAATATAAGTATAATCACCAAAAGAAGTTGTTTATTTCATAATAAGATGGTCAGAATTATTTAACAGAACAGTCTCCTGTTGTCAGGTAACTAATGTATAGACATACTTACTTTCATTTCAAAGGAAGTAGAAATCTTATCAACTCAACAACCTTCAAATAATAATATTCTTGAAAGACGTTGTTAATGGACTGCATTTGTCTAGGAAGTTTTATGTATGTTTTGAGCTACTACCACAGATCTTCATCACGTCTAGATGCAGTTCATTAACAATGCCTTTCAAGTACACTCTGTCTAAACGTTTCCTCAAGCAAGAAACTACAATATTAATTCTTTAATTGTGAAATCAAAATATTTTATTTGGTAATAATGTCAAAAGCATTCACACCACATGGATTTTTAATTTAACAGGAAACTTACATGTATATCATCAAGGCATACTTCATGTATTAACAGAATTAATATAATGCTTCTTACTAAGACAATGTGTAGCCAAACATAGGCTAGAAAGTCAAATATCACAATTGTAGTTTATCAAAAATGTCGTGGAAAAAATCAAACAAGTCCTACATTCAGATTAAAATTTGTTAAATACTTACTGTTACAAGTATCTCAAAGTGTGAATGTTAAGAATTTTTAGAGAGTTACATTCACAATTTAATTAAACTACTTTATTTCCAATGTATACAAATAAACTTGGCAACAAAACATAGTTAATAAATCGAATTTGAATATCATATACGTTTTGAGCTCTAAATTTCATAAGGAAATATTTTAAAAAGCCCTCAATCTCTCCTAATATCAGAATTGTGACATTTCTTCTCTAGGTCTTCTTCCTTCTCTTAATTTATTTACCAACCTTCTCCAAAGTATGAAATTTATCATAAATTATTCATTATACTATAGATATTACTAAGGCAAAGTCTAATTTATATAGCCTTCAATCTTATTTGCTTATGGAATCATAAACTAGAAAATCAGACCCACTTGCGATGCCCACCTGTTATATCTCTCTTTCAAAAATTGACAATAATTTTTCTAATGTTTTATACTATATAATTTATAACCAATAGAAAGACCAAGTCTTAATCTAACAAATGATGTATAATGCTACCTTGCTTTTAGTACAAACTATTGGCTATTTTGTCTTCAGTTTGAAAGTGTACTTCATGGTGTTCAGATTGAGCAGCAAATGGAATTAATTTAAACCCCCTCTTGTCTTAGTTAGAAAGCCAGTTATATTAGATATAAGACATTATTTGCTTTATTCATGTTATTGTTCTGTGTTCTCAGGTGTATTAATTAAGTAAATAAAAATTATTTAGTGTACTACTACTATCATTATAAAAAACGTAGGTACAAATGCCTTCAGAAATCAACAGCACAAAATAAAAAGGTCAAAAATAAGTACAATATTTTTGTTTATCATGTATATTCTTTATTTATTGCTATAAAAGTAACTAAAATGTAAAAATTAGAAACTTATTAGGTTATATAAGGTTAGATTAGGTATGCTCACAAGCAGCTCATGCATTACATCAATCAATACGGTAACATGAGCTACGCATTCACTGAGAGATATTTGATTTGTGTGGCAAAATTTTGGTAATACAAGTTCAAAGGGCAACAACAAAATAAAATTAAGTATAAACAGATGCAGACTGTTACAAGCTTTAAGCTATTTGGGATAAACAATTGTTGTTTTCTATTATGATCTTTAATTAATCATTCTAGAAATAAAAAAAGGGTAATTTATATTTATTTCTAATGTTTTATGGTGGTTACAAGGTGACTCAAATCGAACAAGTCTGTATAGAGTTGGGTTAAGGAAAATAACAGTTAAAATATAAAGTTTTACTGGAAGAAATGTTTCATATTTGTTTAGGAAGTTTTAGAGGTTATGCAAATGAAATCTGAAAATTTTCAAATGAAGAAAAGTATATTTAATCTTAGCATGAAAATCACTTTGCACTTGAAGCAGTCAACACTCTGACTCCATGTACTCGCTGATAAATCTTTAGTAAAAATACTTACATAACTTTTGATTTTTTTCTATACAAAAGACTTGCAATGTTTATGGAAAGCCTGCCATGTTTTGTGAAGAGACAAAACATATTGAAAGTTATAGTATAAACATTATAATGGTTACAAGGTGTCACATCAACTGACCCCATATGGAAAAATTTAATAACAAGAAGTAATAGTTAAAAGGTTAGCACAGCACTTACCAACTATCATGATTATTCAGCAAAATATTTCCTATCAGAGCAATCTCAGTCTATAAGATCAGCACAGTAATTAGAAAATAGGAAAAAGTGTTTAGAAAGGTCAGCATAGTACTTACTATCTTAGTGATTCATCAGAATATTTCCTAACAGAGCATTCTCAGTTCTATATGATCAGAAAAAATACTTACTAACAGGTATAACTATTTAAAAAGGTCAGCATAGTACTTACCAACTATCTTAGTTATTCAGCAAAATACTTCCTATTAGAACAATTTCGATTCTAAAGAACCATCAAGGCACTTATCAACTTGGCAATCTCTATTTCATGGGTAGAATGTCAATTAATACTACTGTCAACATGGTAATTATCATAAGAAAAGCAATAGTCCGTTAATACTATGAATGTAATACTTACCCTTAGAACAAGTAAGATTTAAAGATGACCTCACACACATTTTTGCATCTGTTAATTTCCATCCAGGTTCGCAAGTTCTACACACATTTTCATCATCACAAATACTACAGTGTAGACCACACCTGTGGAAAGGAGAATATCTTTTACCTTTGCATCAGCTGAATGACAAAAGTAAAACACAGCTATTAAAGCAGTGCTGCATCTTTATGCATGGAGAAACTAAACAATGTTTTAAAATCTTTGAAATTACATAGAAACAGAAGAGTCAGAATTGCTTTAGTTTTTCTTCTTTTGTTTGGTTAAGTCCTTAAAAAATCTTTTAATAATGATCATTATAACAACTATAATTTACATGCTTAGTTGTGTATGTATTTTTTAACAGATTAAAACCATATTTTCTGTATTATACCTCACACTACTTTCTTTCTTTTCATAGCAACAAAATATTCTGATTACAATGCACCAGTTGTTTTTTTATCATAGTTTCTGATTTTATATTGTGTTCTTTCTTGTTCAAAATGTTATTTTTTAAATATTTTGACACATAACTTGAATACTGTGATATGTTATAATGCTAAAAGTACTTTATAAAAATACTCAAAAATTTTCAACAGTCAGTAAAAATACTATAAAGCATAGAACACAAAAGATTTTTTTTTCACTTGCAAGATTAGATGATTTAAATATTTATATTATTTTTTAATTAAACTGATAATATTAGAGCATAAAGCATGGATAGAATTATTAAACCACAATTTCAAAAAATAATTTTTTTTTCAAAAATGGCTATTTTAGTTGTTTTTGTATCTTTGAATACACAAATGAAATTATTATGTGAATAGACAAATTGTGTGGTGTGATGCACATTTCACTCTTGAGAATTGACAGCAAGATTTGACAAAATAATTCCTATTCCCCATTAGATTAAATCTGTCTTTGTAGGTTCCACATAAATAAAATGTCTTTTCTGAAAAATATATATGTCCTTATTCTGAAATTATACCTTCTCATACATAAAATGTTTTTAAAAATGTTACTTGATATCTTCAAAATCACAAAAATTTACAGATATAGTGTTTTTGTATAATATTTTGCAATAAGTAAAATAAATATATTTCTGGTAATAAATGGGATATAAATGATGTGAAAAATTACTCTCACAGTTTATTGTATTTTGTAGAATAAAGACAGCAAACTATGTAATATTTTAACTAATCATTAAGTAAACAAAGTACAGATTTGTATAATGACTGTAAAAGCTAATATTAAGCACTATTAAAAGGTAAGTTTATTTATTCAAGTGAATGTAAGTACATATTCAGATTTTTAGTTTTGGAAAAATCTGTTTGTTCAACACAAAGCTGTACAATAAGCTATTTGTGTTATGCTCACAGTGAGGATTGAACCCCACATTTTTGTGTTATAAGCTACCAAGGTTAATGCTGAGCCACTGAAGGACATTTGAAAATAATAAACAACAATTAATCATTTAACTGTGAAGCAGGACTGCATAAATGTTGCACACACATGTATGATGTATGCATAAATATTTAGCCAATAATCAATGATTTTACTCAAAAACGAAACATTATTTCTAAATAAAAAAACTTAGAACTAGAACAAACAACAGGCCTTGCCAAATAGTGCTACCTACTCCTATTTTACAGAAAAAAAAATTCAAATATGATAAAAGGCAATTGCTCCTTGGTGAAAACAACATTTTTTAGTTATATATTGCTATATTCCTCTTTTTTTTTCAAGAGAGGATGAAATTTATTGTATTTCATATTAGCTTAGCACATTAAAAGCTAAAATGAGTAAAAAAAAAACAACAACAACAACAATTTTATAGCATTGTGACATTATTTTTATTGGTTCTTCTACTGTTCTCTAGTAGGAAAACCACAGACTCGGTTTTTAAAGATCCAAGATCTCTATAAAAGTCATTATTTATTAATGTATGTTTGTGGATTATATGACACCTATTTCAAACACTAAATTAACATTAAGCTATTTTGATTTAACATGAAGCAAGATGTACGGCCTCACCATAAGAAATTAGCAATTAGTAAAGAGCCACCCATTTCAACATAATAATGTTTGTGCAAGAGTTGTAAGTGGTTATGCTCACATAATATCTGTCACATGGTTTCTCAGAGACAAGGAAAATGGCCTCAAAAGACCAGCATCAATTCCCATTCCTGCAAGTGTACATGACACTTCAGATGTTTTAGATTACTAGAACTGAGTATGCTGATGGAACATGCAACCCTGCTGATTTTGATAATAATTTCTAAGTTAACATTTTCTTAAATTGAAAATGTATTTCAAATAATACTGACCTCCCCTCACACTTACAGCTATTATTTGACTGCCAGGGTTTCTTTCTTTGCCCATCTAAGCATTGGTCTGATTTTTTTTCTCGCTTGCTCCAGTCTTTTATTCCCCACTTAATTGCCCTTAGCAATATTTATCTCATGACAATCTCTACCTACATCAATATGCCCTCTATCTTGGTACTGTATACGTGCACCTCATTCTGATAATGGTATCACTTTTTCTCGACGAAGAATCACTAATGGATTTCCTAGTACTATGATCGTTCGGAGATACTTTGAATATACCCCATGTTACCTAGTTGAATTTCATAGTTGAAAATATGATTAGCAAGCAGTTTTATGGTATGAATTCCTGGAATATTATTTCTGCACAGAGGCAAATCAGGTCTCTCCTATCCTACCTCTAATATCTAGCATCACACAACAATTGGGTTGAGACTGTCAGTGATCTTATTTGTTGTGAGATGGAGACATATATTCAGATCTGTGGTGTTCCTCCAAGGGGCTCTGAGGCTACAATTGAGAGCAATCCTCAACATTCTGAAGAGAATTTAGATTCAGTTTTTCCTGCACCTTCTTTTAGTCTGTGGGCTTTTCAGTCTCCCCATGGAGCAGTGATGAATTTATGGTCTTGCAATGTTGGAATCCAGGGTTTGATCCCCTATAGCGGATATAACAGACAGTCCAATATTGCTTTGCTCTAACAAAACAAACTTTCCTGACCAAGTGTTGTTTTAATCAATGATAATCAACAGTCCTTAAATGATATATAAGAACAAACAGGAGGCCATTTTGGGATAAGCTGCCTTTGATGTGTTTTCTTCAGTTGGTTCATCAAGAGTGAGATGTTTTGGGTCTTTCTCCAGTTGCTTTTGAGCCTGAATCTTACTTGATGGGTGAAAGGTCTGGGAGCAAGATTTTAGTTTTCTTTCCATACATGGACATTGTAGTTCATGCTGGGAGATTTATTTCTCAGTTATGTGAAGGGACAGTTATGGCTTATCCAACATGTCAGAACTTTGTGATTTGGCCTACCACCGCCAAGTGGAAGATCTTCCGACTCTCAAATACTACATCTGCTCCTCGTATTTTGGGGTTCTAAAGCATAGATTGTAGTTAAGCTGAACAGACTTGGAGCAAATTAGGTCCTTGAGTCAGGATTAGTCATTCAGTTCACACCTTCACCACTATCCATCCAACCTGTAGGGGTATCTGTCTCCTGCAGATCCTTGGAATTTGGAACTTAGTTCTAGAACTGTCAGAGTTTGGTTGGTCTGCAGGTAGCAAGAAAGTCATGATAGTTCTTCCAAGGTTTTATTCCCATCAGTTGTTGGGCCTAAGAAGACAGGAGACTGGTGTCCAGTCGTCGATCTTTCTCGTCTATATCAATGCCTGTATTCTCCAAGGTTCACAAGTTACTCATTCCTCAATCTGAGTTGACAATTTTTCCTGAGATTGTGGATGTCCAAGTTTGTTGTAGTCAGCTCCTATTTGCACATTGCCACAGTGGTGGCATCTCACCACTATCAGTATTTTTGGTTCACAAGGGTCAGGTACTGCAGTTCCAGGTTTTTACCTTCAGACTCTCATCAGTTTCACATTGGTTCTGCCATATCATACAAGTTTTTTCTTGTCACCTCCATTCCATCGCACTGTGCACACACCATTCCATAGTCAACTGGTTACTGCTGGCACCATCTCGTCAACTTTCAGAATACTACATCCTGATTCTACTTTCAGAAAAACCAAGGCAGGCTTCATTCTCAGGGCTGAGACATCTATTGCTCAAATTCAATGTCACAAATCTGGGTTATTTTTTATTTTTCATCTCATCTCTCAGTCGGACTCAGCTGACCCCCATCTGGCTCCACACTATGGAACAGGAAGCCTGACTCTTATCACCTCTCCTTCTCTAACTGCATGGATGGTTCTTTTTCTTCTGGGAATGTGAGTATTATTCGATTCCCTCAAGTCTTTGGGACGAGAGCACAGAGATCCTTTTAATGGTCTTTATGGAATCAAGGGGTCATAAACATCGATTCACTGGATTCCCCAGTTTCCTTAGTCGAGATCATTCTTCAATATCGAGGGGTTGTTGAGTTGGAACACTACTAAGATATGGGTTCCTCTACCTCCACGTCACATCCAAAGTGCCACCTCTTCATGAATGCATTGCTTCAGGGATAGGTGCATATACCAACAATAAGGGATTCCAGGGTCTATGCATGGGCAATGAGGCTTTCCTACACAATGTTTTAGTCCTTCTTGCTCTTCAAAAGGCAATGCTTACTAAGGAGACATATATCAGGCTTCACTCTTACAATTCCATGGTGGTGTCTTGTGTTTCTCATTGAGAAGGAACTTGGTCCAGGGCTCCTTGTTTTCGAATCTTGGACCTCCTTTCTCAGGACCACTCCTATGATATCACGCTACTAGCTTGCCATGTTTCATAGGTGATGCCTGTGGTAGCAGATCAATTGTCTCAACCCAAACAGACTCTCCAGCAAAATAGATGCTTCATTGCAAGGTTTTGTTGGATTGACTCTCATCTTGCAACTCTGATTGGTGGGTTGGCCTCTCATTGGAACACCAAACTACTGGAAATATATTGTCCAGTACCTTACCTTCGGGTTTTGGCAATGGATGCATTCAGTCAGGACAGGATGGGATTACAACTCTAGGCTTTCCCTCCAATTCATATGTTACCCAGAGTACTAAATATGATTTGTTCCAACCCATTGTTGGATCCTGTTGATAGCACCAGATGGGAAGCTACACCCTGGTTTATACTTCTGCAGTACCATCTGGATTGTCTACCTCTTCCACTTCTTCTTAGGCCATCTCTGCATTGTTTCCAGAGAACTGTTTCTCAGGATACCCCAATATGCATTACCCCCCAGATTCTACTAGTGGAGCTAGGAAATCCTTACCACACCCAGTTTTCAGTCACTGAGGTGGTGGACAGAAGCTTTTCTTCCAGAGTGTTAGAGTGAATTCCTCCACTCTTGGAGACTAGGGCAAAGTTGGAGCCCCCCCCCCCTTACCTGGGTCCCTGGATATTTTTTCTCAGATGTTGATAGGAGAGGCACCAGCCTACACAGGAGCCTACTCATAATACTGGTTCAAATTTGAAGCTCCGCTATCAGGTTGGGTTGAGCTTGGTCCATCTTTTTTATCAATATTGGTTCAGTGCATTGTTCATGGAAGAGGGCCCATTGTCTCCTCGTAATTCCAATCACAGAGTGGTCCCATCCTGGGTCCTTGGTTGAGCACAGTTTGTTCCCCATAATCCTGGGGACAAGTGGAATTTACCTTCAAGTTGAGTAAGACATATAAGATTCCACCATTCTGAGCCTGGGGGGTTGCTTTTTGTACTTTTCAGGTTGAGGAGAAGGTTTGTCCAACTCGATGTTGCTTACCTTGTCATCATGATTCCTGTGGCTCAGAATGCATCACTCTATGGCTACAGGTTGGGATCCACTTGTACATATATACATATACATATTATGGTCCAATTGCCTTAGCCACCAATGTGGGACATAGAGGCCATGGCCCTATAATTCCAACCCCTGCTATCTTTAAAATTACACCCACAGTACATGAATTAAGTTCTGGGTGAAGAGCATACCTATTCTGGATGTAGTGTGGTTCCCCCACTAGGGTGTCAAGCTTCTATTGACAAATCCATGATCTATGGCTTTCTGTATGGATAATGGCCTCACCAGCCCCTCCACCTTCTCAATACGGAATTCTAGCTGTCAGTGAGAGGAGGTAAGTGTGTTTTGGAAGTTAAAAATTTCTTAAATCAAAAATGTATTTCCAATAATACTTACCTCCTCTCCCACCTTTCTTCCCCTCGAAGAGCCAGTGTTAAAGACTGGGATTGAGTCAGTCTCAAAAAGTGGTATCATTATCTGAATGAGATGCTTATATACAGTACCAGGATAGAGGGCACATTGATGCAGGTGGAGTGTCAAGAGACAAATATCGTCAAGGGCAAATAAGTGGGGTATAAAAGACTGGAGCAAGTGAGAAAAAAAATCAGACCAATGCTTAGATGGGCAAAGGAAAAAACCCTGGCAGTGAAGTAATAGCTGTAAGTGTGAGAGGAGGTGTGTTTTGGAAGTCATATTTCTGTCAAGATCATTGTAGTATTAAGACAATGTTTATTTTGTATATGTTCTATTAAACATATTGGGCAAACTTAAATTCTAAAGATCCAGTTGCACTTACTTTATTCACCTTTATACTACTTGGTGCTTTTGAAGTTAATATAAATAATATGAAAAAAATAGAACAATTAAACTGAAATAACTGCTTCAAAACTGTTTTATCAAAATATATTTTAAATAATAAATTTTTAATAAAGAACTTAATACAAAACAAATTATTTTAATATTATGTTGGTGCTACTATAGCGCCATATGTCGCCTACCCAGGTCTATCAAACATGTATAAAAATGTATCAAATTAAGTGTTTATCGCTAAAATAAATGTGTGATATCCATGAGGGATGGATAATGCAGCGGTAGACCTCACGCTATAGGCGACATATGGCGGTAGACCTCATGCTATAGTAGCACCATTATGTTTTTGTATTTAAACCTATTTTATAGAAACAATTCCACTAAAATGAAAAGGTGTTAATGACTTGCACTTCTTCTGTATCATGAATATACTTAATAAGTGATATAGTATGCATAAACTTTAAAAGAAAAAAGCTTAAATAGATATCATATATGTGTACTCCAATACCTGAAACACTGGCGTAACTGTTGATGTGAATAGTATCCTGAGAGGCAATCTTTTACACATTGGCTATTGTAGAGATTATATCCTAACTGGCATGATTGACAGTCATTTTTGGATGATCCTGAACAAATCTCACAATTGTCAAAACAATTCACACAACTGTAAATAAAGGATTGAATTAACTATGTAAATATCAATCTATGATATAAAATATAGAATAAAACTACAATTAAATTGACAAGCAATAAGTATGATAATAATACATCTACAGCAATATTAATGTGGTTTCCACCACAAAAAACAATATGTAAAGTTCAAACCAGCATTTAAATGTGAGACTGTGTATGTGTTAAAATCTGAGTAAAAATTAAGAAATACAGTTAAAACTGAACAAAAACAATAATATAATTGAGTGAATAGAAAAAAATTACTTAGAACAAGTTCAAAGTCAAATAAAATTTAAAAAAAGAAACAAAATAAAGAAAGGAAATATACTAAGCTTTGTATGATTGAAATATAACAATACATAATATTACTTCATAGTTTAAAGCAACCAACAACTGTACTAAGAGCTAAGATTAGACTCAACATCAATGGTTTGATTTCAGTATACATGCACTTTTCATCCCCTTTACTTATCCACTGACTATGAACTTAGTTAGAGAAGCCAACCCAACAATGTAAGTGGTACCTTTAGAAATTACATATACTGTCAGGGTGCACACATGGAAATAATAGCAAGGTTGAATTTACCTGAAATTCTATAATGACAATGGATGCAGAGATTTGTTTGTTTCAGTTATTTAACTAAAAGTTACACAAAGGATATATTCATTAGTCACCCCTAATTTTTAACTAATTGATTAGAGGGAAAGCAGCTAGTCAACAGCATTTACCAACAACTCTTGGGCTGCTGTAATTAAATAATGGTATAAGACCATCACTCTTACAATGCATCCAAAGTCCCAAAAGGTGGAACAACATTTTTCAGGCACAAGACATAAACCATAGACCTTCAAATTCACAATCATCTGGCATGCTAGCCACTAGCCCATGTATAGATATAAATATGTATCAGAATAAATACCATTTAGGAATATACGAACAGAAAGAAGGAATAAAAAATGGACAATTTCATTCTTAGACCACCAGTCAGAGCAATTTTCAAAGTATATAATGAAAGTATAATATTTTTAAAGCTAAACCACCATATAATGCGTGAGGAAAGTCCAGAAATACCTAAAACAATTGCTTATTAGCACAGATTTAGTATAAAATTTAGTTGGTAGTAATTACAGAGAATGAAATACCATAGAAAACTAGAGTACTATTAGTTAACCAAATAAAGTAATGAAAAATGTTTGGATGCTGATACAAGTAAATGAATTGGACAGCTGAATTATGCCATGAAGAAACTCAGGGCAAAGGGACACATGCTTAATTTGAAAATACATTCCAAGCCTGTATTATTACATTAAAAAAAAGAGAGAGAAAAATCAGCAATTCATTTTACCAGCGGGAAGCAGAAGCCATTAAATTGACAGATTGATGGAGTCTAGGGTGTACTATCAAAATATCAAGAATATCTCACACCACATTCAGGGAGGAGTTCAGAGTTATGGTGATAATCAAATAAAAACACTAAACTTGAACCTTACAGGGTGGAGATGTATGGAAGAAAATGCATACAAGGTGGAGGTCAAGCAGCCAGAATTCTAGGCACATCAGAGATACAGACCAAACTCTAAGAAAATTGAGAATGAAAATACATGAGTTGACAATATGTTCCAATGCTGAGGCAATGCCTTATTGGTAGGTGAGAAATAGCCAATCAACATCTGGGAACAGTAGTTACAATTATGGTTCCTTTTAGAACAACGTTAACAACCAATCAAAAGCCAAGAAACACATGCTGTGGTTTTGGTTCTGCTAGAACAATGCCAACATCATATTAATTAATTATAAAAAGCCATGGTTTAAAAGGAGAGAAAAAATAGAGAAGTTTGTTTGTTTGTAGTTAT